GACATCCTCAGTAACAGTATCTCAGTATAAGCAAATAAAGTTACACTGAGCAGTATATTCCATGATTTTAGCTCACCAAATCAAATAATCAGGTCGAAAATCACTAAACTGGTGCCAAACACAAATGTCATTCAAGCTGTGATCAGTCGATAGAATAGAGGTGGATATCAGATGTAAATGATGAATATTCTTAATACCAGTCGGAAACTGCATCTCAGTATAAGCATATTACCTATGGCGAATCAAAAACGCCAATCTAGGTTTTAATACGAAATTACAATATCATGAACTACGAGTGGTTAAATAACATTCGTATACCATTCAAGACCCTAAAGTGTTACTAAGAAACCCCATCATGCAATACAATGGCTTCCTAAAATATGAAAATCATGAATGAGATACATAACACCCACGTCTTCTTTCAGTTGTCTATTACATACTCCGTAATTCTTTCAGTTCTGTTCTTATTCCATTTACTCGGCTTTCCAAGCCACCCTCTTCACTTTAGTTTATACTGGCAAGCATTCCATTTCCGAGTTCTGCTGTGCACCACCTACATCTGTCAGTTCAAGTAGCATACACCTCAATAGTAATAAATATATTACATACGTACTTGAGCACGTTACCCCTCATGGAGGAGCATGGGACGCTCATCAACATCCTTTATTCAACTATGTCATACGCAAACCTGCCAAGTTCTTTCCACTTGACATTCATCCCATTCATGTCTGCTTCCAATTATTTGGCCTTACTCTTTTCCGTTTCCGTTCACGGATTCAAGTTCGGGTTTGCTTCGTGATGCAGATCGGTAATTTCCTCAATGTGTGACAGACCCACTTCCATCGTTTTTCCATAATTTCCCCTTCAACTAGAAGCCAGTTTGTTCACTCTCACAGTAGGCTGTTGCTCATGGTATACGGTCAACAGACATTGAGTATCTTACGCAGATAATTGTTTAGAAATACTTGTACCTCCTTCATGATGGTTGTAGTAGTTCTCCAGGTTTCAGCTCCCTACAGTGCGACTAATTGTCTTGACGTTCCTATTGAAGATTCTCACTTTCATTTTGACTTGCAGATAGTTGTTTCGAGTTCCATATGTTCTTCAATTGTAGCAATGCGGCTCTTCATCTCACAATACTTGCATTCACGTATACATCACATCCTCCACGTTCATCCATCATGCTAACCAGATACGTGAAAATTCAACACCATCCACAGTTTCTCCATCAAGTGTGACTGGGTTGGTGTTCCCCGTGTTGTATTTGACGATCTTGCTTTTTCTCAGGTGTACGTTGACACCTACTGATGCAGAGGCTACTGCTACACTGTTTGTCTTCACCTGAATTTATTCGTGTGTATGAGATAGGAGGATCAGCTCATCTGCAAAGTCAAAATCGTCCAGTTGATTTCCAGCTGTCCATTTTATTCCGTGCTTCTTATCACATTTCGAGGTCTACATAACCCAATAGATCATCAGAAGAAACAGAAAGCGTGAGAGTAGGCAGTCTTGTCCGATCCTCACTTCAAATGCGTCTGTCAGCTGTCAGCTGTCCGCCATGCACCACTTCACAGTGTAGTCTGTCTCGCGGCGTACACAACATTCTGCTTCAACCATAATGAAATATCAAATTTCAATATTCGTTTTTAATCTCATACGTTCATAAGTCACTCTAATCAACTTCATTAACAGTCCTGAAATAAACCAAATCTAATAGAATTAACTAATTTATCCTGGTTGTAAAACACTAAATTAACCACATTTCACAGAATTTCCACATTACAACTCAAAATTAGACTAAATAGTCGATACGTTAGAAAATTTATTAACCAATGAAGAGTTTCGAATGATTTTAATTTTTTTGAAAAGTTTTTCTGCATTTCCCACATGATTAACTTTGTCTCAACTCTTTCAAGTGTTCCAATTTTCGTACTCTTACAACATTCGAAGTTTCTACATTTCTATTTTCTCATCAATAATATAAGATTACAGGGATAATCAATCATTTCAAATATAACGACAATAAAACACAACTTCAAATATCTTCACAAAACCCATGTCACTTTGCCAGTAAGAACGGTATAGTCACACCATTAGTGACTAGCTTGAAGATAGATTTCCCGAAAACAGGAATAGAAATCACAACTACAAGTTTAAATGCTCAACCTTCAAAGAGAAGGTGAATTTAAAACAAAGTGTATTTGAATGGCTCTAGAGAAACTAGTTGAGTGATTTTACTACAAACACAATGGATCTGATTTGTAAAATATTATACAAATAGAAATAGTACACATAATTGATGATAGAAAACTAATTCATGAAAATCAAAACATCGAAGCAATCGAGTTCAAATAAAATATCTTATCAACAAAGCATTATTAGTTAGATGATTAGCAACTTGCTATTTAATCAAAATCTGTTCAGTTTGTCTGGTTATCCATCCGACTATTACTATTAGATGTTACCAATAACATTAACAACAACAAAAAACGCGTGATACAATTGGGAATCACAGAGCATTTGACACTATTGGATGATCGTCGAACTACATCACAAATTGATTGAAGCTGGAGTTACACCATCAAACCTTGACTCGGTGGTTGTAATGGTTAAAACAGACTGAAATGTTCTAGATTCGTGTTTTGTCCGAACGAAGAATAAATCAACGAGAACTGATAGGAATTATTATATATATACTTATCGCATAATTATTAAGTAACTAGATCAGATATTTTTATATTCCTTTCATAATAAGCTTTCATTCCACCTATCAGTTACTGTTATACGGTTTACCATTCTCAAGTTATTCCCAATCTATCAGTTACAGTCCCCTATACTCACAGTCACATTCGGCTTCATCTCCCATAATTGTTATCTTCTATTTTATGGTATGATGCGGTTTAGTCTGCTTGTATATAAACCACCTATATCTAAAATATACGTTTCACATAATCGAGACTGACAATTGTGTTCTGGACTGAACAGACTGGGTTATGTGACAAGCTACTATACACAGGACCAAAAACGAATCACAGTTGACTGAACGCTGCTACTGCTGTTCTCATGCAGCATCATTGGTTTAGCACAGTGACAGGGTGTTTGAAGTTAATATTCTGATTAGTAATTTTGTCACATTAGATTTCACAGACCATAGGATATAACGATTCGACCTTCAGTTGGGCAGTAGAGACGTATTGATGAGTCCCCAGATGTTAGGACCAAGCACTAGTGAAGTGCTCTCGGATTCCTAATGTTGTCCGTCCCATCTCAATTCGGTCCGTTGCATATATAGCCTAGAAATCTAACTCACTCTCTACTAAATTTATTGAACCAAATTATCAAATAAGGAAAGTGATGTTTTCAAGATGAGGAAATAGCAAAGGATAGTTCACGGATAGTTCGAAATATATGAGATTTCAGCAACAAAATTGTAGAAAAATAAGAGATGTAATTATCTTTGTAATCCTTACTACAATCACTAAACTCAGTTATTCGACTAACATCTTGTGAATTTGAGCGATTAAAACACTGATTACCTGGAATGTATGGGAAACATAAGACAATAATTCTAGTAGTTACGTGTTATAAAGGTGTCCTATCTCATTTGTTGTAAAAAGTCACCCATTCATCCCATATGTCCATTTGACTGGAAATGTATACTGATGATAACAATCGGAATAAAATTATCATCTCATATAGACAGTAGTTTGAAGTATGTGTGCCTTAACACACTAACCTCTTGAAAGATAACATAAATATTACCTTTTCTTATTTAATTGAGATGATAGACATTTCGTAAAAACATTTGCTACGCAGGATTGGGATTATGGTGAATGATTTTTGGATCTTCAAATTAATGGACAAAATCCTAACATATATCATTTGTCCCCTCAATAACCTGGATCCAATGTGTATCACTGGTCTGTAACCAAAGTTTTCCAATGTATCCAGGTTGACAATCCAAGGTCAACGAGCCCGAATTTTTTCCTCTGTTTTATTTCCGTAAAAAGCACCCATGCGTCATAGAGACAGTGAGTTAGTTCATCGCTAACGTTGTGCAGCTTGTGATAGTTCGATATTTCAATTACAGTTGTACGTAATATATATAATTGAAATAATAGAAAATAACACTGGTAAAATACGATGAAACACGTGTTCTTTTTTAATGATTTAACATATGTAGCGTAAATATATATACTAGACTTCAGACATGTGATAGGAAAAACAGGCTAATAATTCCCTACGTATGCCACTAAAATTTATGTCTACTCGGTTAAGCTGATTTGAAAATGATAAATTCGTGTAATATATGATAGTCTAAATTTACTTCCGAGTTAAGTATACAGTTTTTTTATTCGCTACCGTGGTTACCATCACAAATACAGTGTTTATGCCTAAGAAGCAGATGATTTGGTTACCTAATCAGTTGGTTGAATTTAAATATTTTGTCCACATCCATTTAACTGTTTATAAGTCTGTTGAAACATATCAAGTGAGCAAGCAAACAAATTTGTCTCGTCTTCTGATAACATCATATGATTCTCTAAAATCAGTGGTCATTGATAAAATTCGCGTAAACTTTTATCGTACCATCCCCCACAATATTTGGTCATTTTATACTATGAATTTGCACTTAAAATTAGATCCGAGGTATTTTGTCACTTTTGTAGGTGTTAGGGTAGATTAAGTTTATGGCAAAACATAAGTCCCAGTTTTTAATCGGAAGTTTATGCACAACATTTATGACTTTAGCCAATCATAACCAAGATATTTCATTCCCTAATCCGTTTGGATTGACAATTATTTATTGATTTCAAAATGGAAAATACTATTGGCCAAAATTCCAGCCAATAAACACAAAGGAATGAGGACTTTAGTTATTCACATTTGGACGCATGTGACTGGTCTTCACTTCTTGTCCTATAGCAACTTTATGCCTGAGTTATATGTTAGTGTGTTTTAGTACAAGATTTATGGGATTCCATATTTTGTTCTGGCTTGACAAATGACTAGCTTATTTCATCATTGATTCGAACAACTTTTCCTTCAATTCATTATCGAGCATTTTCAAAACAGTTGATGTATCGTAATAAAACTGAGAACGGTGGTTGATTTAAATAACTATTTGTGGATTAAAAATTTACTGAGACTCAAAAGTGACATGTTAGTGAAGTTTTCATGTCTGTCAAAATAAATAGGATTATTCATTTCTGCTAGTAAATTGTGGTAAACAATGCAATTCACTCAACGGCTGATTGAAGATATGATGATTTAAAAACTATTGGTTTATCCAATCTTACCATATTTTGATATGTAGGATTTGTTCTGAAACTTGACAACTTATCAGTAGCTTCAAAACAACTCAGTAGTTTCGACTGACTAACCTTTTTCTTTTGTTAAATGAAGCTAAAATAACTGGGGATTTTCAAATAATTTGTGCCCAAAACTCCATAAGATACCATATGAAATAATTATGCCTCAGGATTTTGAAGATAAACCATCAGTGGGAGAATGTCGTGTGATTTTACCAGACAAATCAATTTCTTTGAATTGTAAAAATCAGAGTGCAATAAATAACACATGTGATATGCTACCTGAAGATAATGACAAATTAAGTCAACAGTTGCGAAATGAAGAAATTGAGATTTTTAGCCCTGAAACACATCCTGAATATTTTGTACCAGTTGCTCCCGATGGTGGTTGGTCATGGATTGTCTTACTGGCCACATTCCTTAATTTCTTTCTGATTGATGGGATCTTCTTTTCTGTTGGTCTTTTAATGGTTGAATGGGCTGATCATTTCGAAGCTTCAAAAACCAAGGTCTCATTAGTTAGTTCATTGATGTTGGGGTGTTATCAAATGATTGGTAAGTAAAAGTTTTTTTTAATCTTAACAATTTCTATCAATTGTTTTATTGTATTGTTAAGAGTTTAGCACTAACCATGTTATATCGACAAAATCTAGTCGACAAATGATTGCAGTTATATCCAATACTTTGCTTGTTGGTTCATATGATGAACTGAGGTGCAGAATCAATTGATTCCACTCTCTCATCTTCCAATAACTATTTTTTAAAATCCTATATGTAAATTTCGTTTGGATTACCTTTATTTGTTTATAAATAAGCCTTAATCTCCTGGGAATACATGTTTTACCAGTTGGCTAGTCCTGTATTCTAAACTTAGTTTGGATATCAGTTCTGTAGGTGAAGCATTTCTTCAACCACCTCAGTAGTTTCATCGAACTGATTGGAGATTCAAAGAAATCTGAGTATTTCAAGCCAAAACTTTAAGGTTAATGCACATTTTCTCATTTATCAAGTCTGTTTAAATTATACAGTTTAGGATAGTCTTTCATTTCAATCGTTACATTTGAGGTTATGAAACAAACTTTTCATCAGAATCTCGTAGTAATTTCACAAGAAATCAGTACATGATAACCAACTGAATTATCATTTGTTACTCATAAAAAACAATTTTTTCTCACCAAAAATCGTTACACTGTCCAACAACCATAGGATTATTTAAAAGGGATGAAATCTCCGATTACAGATTTTACTTTATCCATCTCAATTTACCCGACAAATATAAAAGAAATAAGTACAAGAAAAATGAAGGGAATTCCAGAGATATTAATATTTTGCAACTTTCGTTTCTCAAATATTAAAAAAGGCGTTACGGCACGTAGAAGTGAATGATCATTGACTATTTCGTGACTTATGTATTCAACCGTAACAAATTTATCATATAAGTAACTAGTAATCTTACTTCATTGATTGAATAATAATATGCCCAGTTAAATAAAGTGGAAAGTAGTGGGTCTACCCTCTGAAGTTTATTTGGTTGGGATATGAAGATTGGTCTCATAAGCAACTAGTCTATTGGGCCACCGCAGTTATTACACTTACAATATCAATCAGTCGTTACATCATGAAACAAGAAATTATCATCATTTGTGTCATAAATCTTCTAATAAATTAGCACTGAAAAACGCTGTAACTGGATTACTTTTAATAGTCAGTTATTATTTTCTTATAGGTCCTTTTGCTGCAGCACTAACAAACAAATTTGGTTGTCGAACAGTCGCTCTTTTTGGATGCGCTCTGGCATCTGTATCGATTTTCATTAGCTCTTTAATGCCTACCGTAGATGCTTTAATCATTACTTTTGGAATATTAGTTGGTTAGTCTTATTACTGAAAAGTCTTTTATTGCTTGATTATTTTTGGTGAGAAAGATCTTGTAATCATGAATAATAATTTAACTTATTCAATAAATACAGGTTGATCTATCCAGCTTTGATGGTGCTAAACAACTGTTCACTTGATGAGGTCTAATGATACCGGTTTGTCACCTAAACCGGAGGTGAGATGCCTGGATTTGTTTTCGCCGCTGAATGACAGCCTCATCAAGATTGTTTGCGATTTCATAATACTGTACATTTGTTGTATAAATGTTTCAGTCTGTGCACAAAGTGTAAGAAAATTTATGAATTTTGTTTTTGAATAACACAAGTAAAACGAATTACTCATTATAGCAAGAAATAATTTCGATCATTTGTGAAAATACTTTTAGTGCATGTATACTTTATGTTATGAATGAACGAATTTGAAGTCAATAGAAACTATTAATCATATCGCGTCGATGGACTTACTGAACTCTCTAAATATATGGTAATACTGAACAAGCCAGAAGTGGGTTTAAAGAATAACAGTTATCTTCAGACTAAGAGATAACATCAATTTTAGGTGTTATTGAATGCTGAACTAAACAAGTTTGAATGGTTTTGACTTTATGGTTGCTATTACCGAGATAATCATAATTTTTAGTTGAAGACCTTATATAACTTGGCTGGAAATCGGTCTGATTGCTTCAAGTTTATTTGTTTTGATTCCTTAAACCATAAGTTCAGATGTTATGCTTTACTTTTCAATCTTTCATTATGTTTGCTATCCTAGAACTATTTCCTATGTTTGGTTTTCACTAAGGTATATATTTATTTTCTCTACTTTTCATCTCGGTGGTTTTCCCTCTCAATATTGATAATGGTTTGCCAAATTGGGGTTGATCAACTTTTGTGATAAATGTCACATTGTATACAGCTGACCGATTGTGAGATCATCTGATAACTTTATACATAAACTTTGTATCCTACACACTGGTGTGAATATTATAAAACGTAGCTGTTTCTGCTAGTGGCTGGTGAACATCGAAAAACATTAAGAACATGTTCCCAAAGATCGATTATTTGTAGTCTGTAGATTTATCTGACAGGCGTGTAGTGTCCATTCTGGTTTACCTAAGAATCTGCAATTAATTGAAAATTTTACGTAAAATATCAACTTAGAATGATGATTAAACAATACAACTAGACAGTATTTTGTTATGTCCCGACAAGAATGATGAATGGTAACTTTTGGGATCCATTTACGGATCAATACTAAACGTATATTCCTATTATAATTATTAAGTAACTAAACTATGCATATTCATATTCCTGTTATTATAAGCTTCATTTTGACCCGTAAACTATTATTATACGTTTTACGATTCTTGAGTTGTACCCAGTATATTAATTACTACCTCCCTCATTCACAGGCACATCTGGCTAATTCTTATACAAATGTTGTTTCATACTTTATTCGTACGTTGTGGTCTGTTTGATTGGTATATAAACTCGGTATGTTTGAAATATAATGATTCATATCGCAGAGGCTCGGATTGGCTTTCTGGACTTATCTGGCTGGGCTAGACAGGAAGCGAGACCAATCAGAACTCCAGGCTGCTCATGCGGGTTTACGCGTCATTGTTCCGATCGATAATTCACTGCTCCCTAATTGGCGGTCACAAGATATAACATATTCCACATTACCTGAGAATTATAAGGCCATTACTTAGTAAAATGTATGTGCCAAAGTAGACTAGTTTTTGAACTGTATAATATTAGAACAAGTTTATATATTCCTCTACTAAGAGATTTATCCTAGCTATGCTATCATAGCGACTAAAATTCAAAAAAAGCCCGGTTATAATATGACAGAGTGTATTGAGATATTTACGAACATATTTCACTGAATGATAAATACGAATATTCTCCCCAGTATCTTATGTCTCATTGCACCTCATGGACACGAGAACTCATTACCCGAATTGCAAATACTGAAGCTCATGATTGTTTCGCAATATACTCATAAAACACGTGAAAATATTAATCTTTCTGTAAATCTTGGGATTTATTTAATTCATTTATATCGTTTTGTCCCGTGTTCATTAGTCCTCTTCGGTTTTCATACCGTTTATGAATGAATATCTTCACTTAGTATTGCCCTTGTTAAATGATTTAAAATAGATACACTACACAGAATTTTAAATTATTTTGTCTATTTATCTACGTACTTAACCTAGAGCAAATAGAAACTTTTCTAATGTTGGATACCAGTAGGTTTGATTGTTTATTTCAGTCATCTTGTATTTTTCTTTTGTAAATGTCAAAAGACTTATAAAATGCATAATTAGAAGAAACCAAATACGTATCGGTTTGATCAACTAACTGATTACTTTAAAAAAAATTCTTTTCCTGTGGTGAAAGATCACTTTCTTAAAATGATGTTCTACTTTTTTTCTTCCATAAAGGCTCTTCATTTGGATTAATTTATTTACCAGCACTAATTGCGGTTAGTTTCTATTTCAACAGAAAACGTGAATTGGCTAGTGGTATAGCTGTGGCTGGAACACCTTTTGGGGCTGTGGTATTTGGACCTCTAGCAGGTTACTTAATTCAGGTGAGCCTTCACATGAATCACTTAACACTTAGGCATAGTTTATTGATAATAATTTATTTCATTAAATTATCTATTCTCGTAGCAAATACGATGACCAGTCACTTGACCTTGATATATCATTTTCACAGGCTCTCTAATGGGTTGGATAGATCAGATGCTGTTATTTTGTTTGCTTGTTGATGAGGTCAGATGTATTTAGCGGGACGGGGCAGGTCACACGATCTACCAAGGTCGTTTAGCGAACCAGTGCATATGTGGGCGAGCCCTAGTGGTTAACTGAATTGTCTTGTCAAGGTCATTTTTAAATATCTGCTGTCTGGGTCAGTACAAATATATGGTTTTTCAAGAATAATTTGTTAACCGAACACAATATCGTCATAACTACGCGAAGATGAAGCTGCTCAGCTTGTAAATTGTTTGTTGAAAGTACATGAGTATAATTTATATTGACCAGTTAGTCACAAAGCTATCATTAAACAGTGGTCACTTCAAAAAGAATAATTTTTTAATAGTTTTTAAACTGTTTGTTTCTACTGTCAACTATTATTCTACATTCTATCATTATAAAAATCATAATTTCCATTTCATTTGACTTAGTTATTGCATTGTATAATTTTCATTTATATAAACTATTATTGTCTTTGGTCAAGTAGTTTTCTGTCTTCTTTAAAGCTCTTACTTTGAATGCTAACGTGCTTAAAAAAGATGAACCCAAAGTGATATGAACTTATTATCAAAATATCATGTTATAGGAGTTTAAGTTTGATATTTTGGGAAATTCACTTTCTGGAACGTTAAAGCTAACAATTCCTTTGTAGGTAATCACCTGAAAGTTTTTTTTTTTGTATCCACTACTTTGACTTGATGAAAAGTATCAGGTTATACGACGTTATTTGTTTGTGGCATTCGTCTGCGCTCTCATTGACTTCAGTTTAAAAAAGTGAAGAGACCATATCTGCAGAATTTAACAGTTTACGAGCACTCAGGCTCCGATTAAGCTGTCGTGCACAAGATTTCTAATGCTCAGTTAAGTAAACTAGTCATAATAGAAATACATTTAGGTGGGACTTTCAGTATTCTAATCTAGAGGATATGTAATCATTACCTTTTAACTAACCTGTTCATTTACAATCACTTATTTCCAGTGGACTCTAAATTAAACCATAAATACACTGCTGCAAAACTGGTAGCCGAAGGTGTACCTACGGCAAATATATGGATACCTTAAATTAATTGAACTAAAAGCATTACAGCTGCAAGACTTCATTTAGTGCAATTCAAAAAATAAATTTCTAAGGATTTTTTTTACAAACGGATAGCTAGGCAATCGACAATGAAGAGGATCCTCATCTTTTAGTAGTCTTGAATGAACTGTAGTCTGGATTATTAATAAGTGTGGTCTTTTATTAATCTGAACCAAAAGTTCAAGAAAAGGCATTCAATTTCAACAACCTCTATTATATTGATGATAAATGTTTAAAAAGTCGTATTGACAGACTTCGAATACTATAATGCACCAAAAATTTTAACGTTAGTTATTAAGATTCTCATAAGATGATAATGAGAAATGTTGGCCAGTGAAAACAAATCAAATAGAAAGATTAGTGTTATATCCGAGTGGAGATTAAATTACAGGTAACTTCCGAGGACTATTCATGGACTAATATCCTATAAATATTCTTGTTGTATAACTATTCAACAATTGCATTATGTATATTTGTATCCCTCTTATGACAAGCTTTATTTTGGCCTATAATTTATTATTGTACGATTTACGGTTCTTAAGTTATGTTCAGTTTATTAACTACTGCCTCCCACATTCACAGCCACTTTTTGGGCTTATTTGTGTACAAATATTATTTCCTATTTTATGGTACGTTGCGGTCTGTATGATTGATATATAAACCAAGTATGCCTGAAATAAACGATCTGCTCTGATTCGGAAGCTGGTATTTTGTTCTGGACTCAAGTGGAAGGGCTCGTAGGACATAGGACCAATAAGGACGCTAAACTGCCCACACCGGTTGAACGTCATTGGTTGGCCTAGTGTAGAGATCCGTATAAGTCGTATCCGGATTGGTAGATAAAACGCGTGAGATAGAAAAGTCAGACATCCAAGGTCATAACAATTGGCGACGGGGTGGAGAAAAGTTTCGAACCCTCAACTTCAAGGTCATAACAATTGGCGACGGGGATTTTGGCAACAAAGAAATAATAATACGACAAGTGGTGACTCAGATTTTGGAAATAAATTAGCTGTAATAAATTGCCGGTTATTTTTGAAGTTAATATTATTATTGGCAGAAAAAAAATGTCCATTTCTTTAGAACAGGTGCAGTTAATACTACAGCTACAGCACCAGCAGATGTTAGCCTTCCAACAACAACAGAACCAGCAGATGTTAGCCTTCCAACAACAACTATTTGAAACAGTTTTGGGCAGACTTTTCACTCAGCCAGAAAATAAGGAATCTATTTATGATACAGATAATGGTGCAGTAATGGACATTTCAGAAGCATATTCCGTGGAGGTTTCAAATCCCTGTATACCAGATAGAAAACGTAATACTGGTAAATTGTCCAGCTCACAGCAAGATAATATTGTGCTAAATGCACATGAAGTTGTGAAAATGCCAGATGATCAGGAGCCAGATCCTGTAGATGAAGCTCAGAGTCCAGAATTAAATGAAACGCTACTGGTTCTGTCCAGCTCTGAAAATAAACTTCAACTCGAACAAAATTGTGGTCCACGTGATTTTAGTCGAGAAAGCTGTGGGGACTCATATTCAGAAAATAACTGGGGCAACACGATGAACCCAACTGTACCAAATGTTACTCAAAATAATTGGGAGACAAAAATTTATATTGAACTGGATTATCTAATTTCTCATGATAATGTACTAGATATGGGTTCTTATAATAATGCACAGAATTTTGATGGGATTTCTTATAAAAATGAAGAAAATATGTCGGCTGTTTCAAATGATGGTCAAAAATCTAATTTAATTCTGTTAGGCGTTGACTTTCTTAACGACTCATTATCTGCTAACGAGATTCATAATGAATTTGGAAGTAATGACCTCAAGTCGAAGGTCGTTCATCATCATCTAGCCATTTTCAGTGGATTCTTCATTCAATACGAGAAACATGGTTTAAACAAAGTCCTATTAGTTGTAATTTGGAGACATAAGGACCCAACATTATTTCGAGGAGGAGGAGAATGTTGGAGAATTGAAAGTTACACATAATCTTTTTTTAAAAAAAAAAATCAGAATCTAAACTTGGAATCTTAAAAAAAAAGGGGGAGGTGTTATATCCGAGTGGAGATTAAATTACAGGTAACTTCCGAGGACTATTCATGGACTAATATCCTATAAATATTCTTGTTGTATAACTATTCAACAATTGCATTATGTATATTTGTATCCCTCTTATGACAAGCTTTATTTTGGCCTATAATTTATTATTGTACGATTTACGGTTCTTAAGTTATGTTCAGTTTATTAACTACTGCCTCCCACATTCACAGCCACTTTTTGGGCTTATTTGTGTACAAATATTATTTCCTATTTTATGGTACGTTGCGGTCTGTATGATTGATATATAAACCAAGTATGCCTGAAATAAACGATCTGCTCTGATTCGGAAGCTGGTATTTTGTTCTGGACTCAAGTGGAAGGGCTCGTAGGACATAGGACCAATAAGGACGCTAAACTGCCCACACCGGTTGAACGTCATTGGTTGGCCTAGTGTAGAGATCCGTATAAGTCGTATCCGGATTGGTAGATAAAACGCGTGAGATAGAAAAGTCAGACATCCAAGGTCATAACAATTAGCGATGCTACCTGTTGTTCAGACCTATCAAGAATATGTTATAGTTAGTAATCAGAGAAACTATTTCTGAAAAATACGAGATAATTGTTCATTCTGAGACCTAGAAATTACAACAGTCGACCGAATTCTACGAGGAACAACTCGACTAGTCTCTGGCTATTTTCTAGTTGCTCACCATCTAACAGCATGAATGAAAATTAGACAATGGATTTTCAACTTAGACAAAGCTAGGTCAATTGTAATCCAATTTACTCAAGGGACATTGGCAAACCCTGATGGCTTAACTATGGAAAACCTTAACAGCGATGGATCGAGACTACTAATTCATCTAACTCAGGAACGTAGTTTCATCTGAATGATCTTGATCACTTAATGTCCCAGTTTATAAAATAAGACAAATATCCTTTCGTAATAATTATCAATGAATGAGGTTGCATTTTGTCATTTCTAAGTAATATATGGTAGTGAAAGTAAAAGATGAATAATCGTTGAGCGTGGACAGACAGGCCTAGCCTACTGACTGTTGAAAATGTGGTTTCTTTTTTTCTCATTGATTTCTACTCCGGACTCACTGAATGACTCTTTGTAACTGTGTTGAATGAAGTATTATCTAGTGTTAATCTGGTTCTCTATTTTAGGTCGTGAATCGTGGATCTTGATATAACGTAGCTAGTCTCATTGTTGTACTAATGTATTGTCGTAGAATACCATAGAGAGAGAGAGAAATATTTTAAACCATCGCCAAGGTCTTAGGTTTCATATTTATTCAAATCTTGGCACACAGATCGAGAACAAACCGGAAATATTTCATGAAGGTCCCAGATCCAGCTGAGGATATGTCTACAAAATATTCACCTTCCGTCTCATTTTGAGACACGGATACTTACCAACTTTCAACTGTAGTCATATTACTTGTCTTGAAGGTTTAATTTGTCTCTGTTGATAGATATTGTAGTTCCAAAGAAATCGATTAATCTACTGAACACTATTGGAACAGTCGTTTTTAGATCTGAGCTTAAGAAATCTTCGACTCACTATACCGTGTTGTGTATAAAACGTGGTTAGCAGAAATGTGAAGTCATTGACAGTTTTTCATTTGACTTTTATCTTTATGGTAATCCTTCACTGTTATCAATGTCAATCAGTTGTTTTTCTCCAAGTGGACTTCCCATCACTACATTTATATGAAATGTAGCATCTTACAATAACATACACTTGTACTATTTACCTTAAACTATTTTTTTTCATACATATCCAGTAACCTTACATGTAAAAGGGTTTTTATTATAAACGTTTTTAGCCTATAATTTTACCAGCTATTGTTGAACAATCTGTGATCGGATTGGAACATTTAACAATATTGTAACTAAAATTTGCAAATACTAAGACATTTCTACTTGTATTATTGTATCTTACTCTTTTCCATTATGGTTTTTAAGTTCCTTACATTTTTAGATATTACCATTGACAATGTGTACAATCCTAAGTTGTTTCATTTCTTAATGCAAAAAATATATTCATTACAATATGCTTTTAGAAGTTCCAGAATTTGTTTTACGAATTCATCCTTCATATACTTGTCATCCATATGTACGAAAAAGTAATCTGATTACTTTTATTCTTTTCAAACTTTAAATGTAGACTGTGCTTTCTGTGTGTGTCTGAATGCTTATTTGTATTATATATTCCCGAATTTCGTGGATTTATTGAAGTTGAACATTAGCACCATTGGATGCCGGCTCAGAGGTGTAGAGTTTAAGTGCTCGCGCGCGAGACCGATAGATACTGGGTTCGAATCCCCCGGGTTGGGATCGTGGGTACGCACTACTGATGAGCCCCATACTAGGATGAAACGGCCGTCCAGTGCTTTCAGGTTTTCCATGATGGTCTAGCTTAACTTGACTCATGATCTCAACTATTAAATGAATAGTAAATTTTTTTGAATTTATCACTCATTAGTTGTATTTTTAGATGAAAAGAATTGCTTTTCTAACATTGTTCCACAATTCGTTCTTTGTTGACTTTTACTATCAAGAAAATGGAAGCTCAACATATATATCTATCACATTTAAAAGTTTTCAATGAATTCAAACATCATTCCCATAGCAGATTAGTGAATTTACGAATGAATACGATCATAAGGAATGCATAAGATTCGAATAAAATCAACTTCTGTATCGTAAATCATTTGATATTAAACGAAAAAGTGATAAATTTAGTTAATTTACTTTCATGTTACATCAATTTATAGATCTATCTAGTTTGCTTGTAATTCATCATTGATAAATTTTTCATGATGATTGTACATTAAAACTTGCAATATTTAACATTTATGATCGGAGAGGGTTTTGTGAAGATTGTAGCAATTTAATAATTGAATTCATGAGTCAATTGAAGCTAGACCACCATGGAAAACCTGGAAGCAGTGGACGGCCGTTTCATCCTAGTATGGGACTCCTCAGCAGTGCGCATCCAAGATCCCGCACCCCGCGCGATTCGACCAGGTCTGTTGTGAGATATCAACTCACTGAAGACAATGGTGTACGATGGCGCAACTTTGTGGATTCGTTGAAGTTAGATATGAACACCGTTGGATGTCGGCTCAGTGGTCTAGTTGGTTAAGCGCCTTGTGCGAAACTGATAGGTCCTGAGTTCGAATCTCGCGGGGTGCGGGATCGTGGATGCGCACTGCTTAGGAGTCGCACAATAGAACGGAACGGCCGTCCAGTGCTTCCAGGTTTTCCATGGTGGTCTAGCTTCAATTGACTCATGATTTCATTCAGTGAAATTTATAATCAATTAATTTATAAGAAGTAACAAACTTATTCTTTTTGTATAGTATTATATTTGAGTATGATGTTCTACTGATCAAAATATTTTACAATTTATCTTCATTCGAGTTTTATGAGTTTTTGAGATTTTTGTCCATTTGTTATAAATTTCTAATTCTGAATTTTTATAAATTGTGCTTTGTTTATGTGCCTAATATAGTATACATCTTAAAAACTTTTTGTTGTGAATAGCTGTTCCGTTTTAGTTTGTTGCTTCTCAGTAATCCATAACTTCGAACTCAGTGCTTGAGACAACTGTGGTACATGCACGAAGCTATTTATTCACTCAGGTAATATATTCAATGTTCCATGTTGTCAACTATAGTTAATTTGGAAATACAGTGCTTCCAAACTTGTCAAAATTCCGACTAAACTACCTTAGTAAATTACAACATACATTGATAGTTAAAATTGCTCAGTCATGAATTTCCACTGACCTTCACTAGTTTTCACATATAACACTTTTGACTAGATAAGATATAATAAAACATTTTAGTAATTTTTTTATATACTTTATTTTTCTTCATCCCTTTTCGTGTTGTGTGTGCCTGAAAACCGATTACCACGAAGTGCAATGCTAACCAGTGTTGGGGATGGTTGGAAGAAAGTTAGGGGCGGCCAAACCAAAACGTGACATCAGTGCTTGAAGTCACTAACTTTTGGTCTGAGCCTTGTTGGTAGATGTAGACTACTTGGTTGGGGTCCGCGTGACTCGTAACCAATGGTTGGAGACTCTTGGTGACGTGGCTCAGAATCGACCACAATGACGTAAAGTGTCTTCCCTTAAACCGTGAGATTAAAATTACTTTATATCTTTCTTTCTACAAACTAATTCCTTCTCCTTGTATTATATCCTTATACACATTCTTTCTTTTATATATTACTACCATTGTCTTAACTACTTGTATGAATCCGGTGTCCATCGTGCTGTGATAATGTAGTATGACAACTTGAACCGACGCATATATGTGCCTGGTCCTACGTTGTAGCTGACTGACTTTTGTATACACTCTTTGTTGTCTGATTATATACTCACTACTGATTACGTAATCTTAATAGTTGTTATTTTAATTGTTAGTATAGAGTTGTAGAGATTGCTGAATTTCATTGAAATCATTAACCGATCTAAGTTAGACAACCATTGAAATGTTTACCCTAATACAAATATGTTTCATCAAAAACATAGATCACATTTTTTCTAGATTAACTTCATCACAGTAATATTAAAGTCTTAAATAATATTTAATTTTACCAAAATTTTCTTTTAAATGAACTATTGTTTTAATAAATGTAATAACCAAAGTGTCCATTGTGTTCCTCATTTATGTTTTTTTTTTTACTTTCAAATTAGTTATATGGATGGTCATGTACATTAGTATTCTTCTCTGCATTTATACTTCATGGTATTATTTTATCATGTCTTTATCGTCCATTGAAACCGATGCATAAATTCGAAATGTTAGATTTATCTAAAGAGACTAATGAATCTATTGTTAATTTAGTTGATGTAATTCAAAGTAATTTAATGATAGCATCGAATACATTTATTAAATCAAATCAATTTATCAATTCATCAAATCGTATTGGTCAAACTTTATATAAATTAGATGAAGGAAATGAAGAAAATGAACAATTACTACAGCAACAACAACGAAAAAACAGTTTGAATATTGAAGTTGGTGAAAATTTAAAAAAGAAACAATCTATACATGAGAAGAAATTACATAAATTGTAAGTGTATTCTTTGAGAATTTTCGTTACTTATAATGTTCGGGCATACGTAACACGTGGCCCAACCATCTCGGTTGATGAAGATTAACAAACTCATCAACTGATTTTCCATCATTCCCTAATACCCCGCGTCGAACCTCACTATTACTTACCCGGTGATCCCAGCAGACGCCAGCAATATTTCTAAGGCATCTGTGGTCAAATACTAGTAGCTTACGAGTGTCTTCTACTCTTAATTGCCGTGTTTCGCTGCCGTAAATTAAAACAGAACAGACTGCCGCGCAGTATACTCGTCCTTTTATTGATAGACGGATATCTCGCCTTCTCCATAGGTGACGTAAGTTGGCAAAAGCCAAACGAGCTTTTCGAATCCGTGCTGAGATTTCGTCACACACCAACCCATTAGGGCTGATCAGACTTCTAAGTTAAGTGAATTTGTCAACGTGTGCGACTACTTCATGACATGCAGAAACATCATAGTCATTCAACTAAATGAAATATTCATTACAATCGGAATCCAAGAGAAACTTGAGAGCATTACAAAGTCTACGGGAATTGGCAGTAACTAAATACATATACATTATTTCACTTGTATTGGTTGTTTGAATCTTCTCGTCGATGTTCAGGATGCCAGTTGATCACTCTCTTTTAGCATATGTACACTATTATTATTATTATTATTATTATTATTATTATTATTATTATTATTATTATTATTATTATGGACGTGTAACACCGATTAATAATCTTACTAATTAGTGTATTCATTGTTTAAGTGATCTATGGTATACTTTGTAATATAAATTTTAAAGGTTAGCCTCCATGAGGTAATACAAATGTGTAATTAATGTTAATCATTTACTTCATTATTTCATCGTCGGATGATTTACTGATTTTTAATTCATTCAGTTTATTTCCTTATAATCCTGTCAAATGGAGCATCTTGAAAAAAATACATCGTCGAATGCTATACTTTCAAATTCTATAATGTATAGGCATCAAAGTGAGTGATTCGTCTGTCTCAAACAAAGTAGTGGCTATCTGGACTCATTAATTCAATATATAACGTATTAGCCATTTGAAGCGAAAAGCACTGCGCTAGATTCCCGGGGTGAATATAGACTCTAGGATATAAGTACATCTAGCTGACGAGTTACAAATTGGAAAAAACGCGCGTCCTAGATTTCACTTCTAGTCACTATCCAACTGCTTATAAATATATTATTCTTTGAAATTTGTTAATAAATACTAATAATTTTTTTATATTTGTAATTGATATGGAGAGTTATTACTTTTTTAAGTGTTATGAATATTCTCTATCGAGATATCCAAAGAGATGATGCATGATACGGGATACATTTACAAATTGATGCTAGGTGGTAGGCTTAGATTCATTTTTAGTCTGAATGGGTAAAGCAGTAAATCGTTACGAAGTTTGGAGTTTGTTTCTAGAATTCTCCACAATTTCAAGGTCTTCTGTGTAATTATGTGAACAATATCATTTGATTTAGGTACCCAGACTGAATTAAAGTGAGGTCTCAAGTTGTATTACTAACCTTTTGTTTGTTCATACTTCAGGATTCATACAATATGGTGTTATAGAGACAACAATTTTCTATTTTGCCAATTATTAATACTGTAACTATTCCATTCATTTGTACTGCATAAACATTTTTTTCATCAAATACTGGTCATAATGACAATACTGTATTTTACACTAATTAATCATAGAGTAGTGACCAATGTCATCTTTGTCTAGATTTTAGTACCAATCGAATCTTGTTAATCAATTTGCATTATTTACATCGGTTGAATTATTGTTGAGCGCTAATTATAAAACTAAACTTCAGTTCAAGGTTTCCTCCTAATTTCTTCCAATTACCTTACTCAATGATTTGGCATCATTTAAAAATAAGTATTTTAAAAAAAAAAGATTTATAAACATTACATTTCAAAGAGTTTCGATTCCGTTTTTACACAGTTATAAATTAAGATCTTATCCCACTGGTTTATTTTGAATGCCACAATTATTCTTTTATTTCGTTTTCATACTTCAGGAATCTATGTGAAGAGGATGTACAGAAGTGTACAGATGAAAAGAAAGGTAATTACTGTTAATTAATTTTGTATTCATGGGGATTTTTTGTTGTACATAGAAATCTAAATCTAAATTTAATAAACATGATTACCGGTTATCATGAATTAAAGCAAACAACCTTTACAGATTTTGATATGTAGAGTATTTCATTGTTAACTCAACCTTGACAGTGTTTAGACTAAAAATATAACTCTGAACATTAAAGTAATTCGTTTAATTTTCAATCATTTAAGCAAAATATATTTACGTGATATTAGTAATAGTTGTATGGAGATATCATTTATTAAATGGTTATATGGGTAAATGTTTATTTTATTAGTTTAGGTTATATAATAAGTGTGAACCGACGCATAATCGACACTATAGTTATATATTTTGGCTTGGTTATTCAGTTGAAATGTATTTATCCATGTGCCTTTTTAGTGTATGTCAGTTAAAATTATTGTTTATGTTGAAAGTCATTGTAACATTGTGAAATGTTTTCTTTGGTCCCCGGTAATATAGTATTTATTGGACGTGTTTTTTACTACTTATATCTATCACTTGACCTCTGGATTTATAATCTGTTTTAGTGATGACTTGTACCTTAACAGCGGTCAATATATATGTTACCTACAGTGAAGAATATGTATATATATATATATATATATATATATATACCCTTCGGTTTGGCTTCAATAATTAGAATTGCTAATTATTTCATTTCGTAATTCGAATGCGTAGGCGGATACGAACTTTCACATGACCCTTATTCTTCATTTTAGTGTAGTAAATAGGAGAAAAATATGAGAGAAAAACTATGTTTAGATGTAAAAACATAATTATTTACTTGGCTCAGATTTTGTGTAGTTTAGAAATGTTTATCTTAAAATAAGTTAGAGAAGTATGGGGGATGGGTAAACACTAATTGATTCTTTCCAATTAAGGGTAATACCACATTTCCAAATCTTTATTGTAAACAAAAGTCCGAATCTAACTAGTTTTATTTTTTAATTTTAATGAAATTTCGATATAATATATATTTTTATGATAATAAATTAGGGGAGGATTACGTTTGCTAGTCAGGTCTTAATTTTATTGAGGCTTGAATAACTCACGAAATCCGTATCTTCTAATCGTTTTACATTATTTTCAACCATGTTTTATTCTTGTATTTAGTATTTTGTATATAAGTGTTATATCCGAGCGAAGATTAAATCACGAGTAACTTCTGAGACATATTAATTGACTAATATTATCTATACATTCTTATGGTATAACTATTCAATAATTAGATTATGCATATTTATATTCCTCTTGTTATAAGCTTTATTTTGATCTATAATTTATTATTGTACGATATATGGTTCTTAAGCTATGCTCAGTTTATTGACTATTGCCTCCCACGTTCACAGCCACTTTTTGGCTTTATTGTGTACAAATGTTATTTCCTACTTTATGGTGCGTTGCTGTCTTTTTGATTGATATATAAATACAGTATGTTTGAAATGTATGATTCACATATTGGAAGTTGGTATTGCTGTTCTAGACTCAAGTGGACGGGTTAGGCGGATATAAGACCAATAAGGACGGTAGGCTGCTCATACCACTTGGACGCTATTGGTTTGGCACAGTGCTAAGACTGCATAAGTCGTATTTTGATTGGTGGATAGATCACGTGATAAAAAGCCGGACTTAAAATCACAACAATAAGCATGTGATTTTTTAAAAAATAAACTAATTATTCTGTCTAATGGTCTTGTCTTTGATATCATTTGATTTTTGTGAATTAAGTCAATAATTCAATCATCTGAATAACCGTAGCTCGGGGAATTCCTATCGTTCCCTTCCTATAAATTATGTTAGGATTTTGTCCATTAATTTGAAGATCCAAAAATCATTCACCATAATCCCAGTCCTTCATAGCAAATGGTTTTACGAAATGTCTATCATCTCAATTAAATAAGGAAAGGTAATATTTATGTTATCTTTCAAGAGGTTAGTGTGTTAAGGCACACATACTTCAAACTACTGTCTATATGAGATGATAATTTTATTCCGATTGTTATCATCAGTATACATTTCCAGTCAAATGGACATATGGGATGAATGGGTGACTTTTTACAACAAATGAGATAGGACACCTTTATAACACGTAACTACTAGAATTATTGTCTTATGTTTCTCATACATTCCACGTAATCAGTGTTTTAATCCCTCAAATTCACAAGATGTTAGTCGAATAACTGAGTTTAGTGATTGTAGTAAGGATTACAAAGATAATTACCTCTCTTATTTTTCTACAATTTTGTTGCTGAAATCTCATATATTTCGAACTATCCGTGAACTATCCTTTGCTATTTCCCCATCTTAAAAACATCACTTTCTTTTTTTGATAATTTGGTTCAATAAATTTAGTAGAGACTGAGTTAAATTTCTAGGCTATATATGCAACGGACCGAATTGAGATGGGACGGACAACATTAGGAATCCGAGAGCACTTCACTAGTGCTTGGTCCTAACATCCGAGGACTCATCAATGCGTCTCTACTGCCCAACTGAAGGTCGAATCGTTATATCCTATGGTCTGTGAAATCTAATGTGATAAAATTGCTAATCAGAATATTAACTTCTAACACCCTATCACTGTGCTAAACCAATGATGCTGCATGAGAACAGCAGTAGCAGCGTTCAGTCAACTGTGATTCGTTTTTGGTCCTGTGTATAGTAGCTTGTCACATAACCCAGTCTGTTCAGTCCAGAACACAAATGTCAGTCTCGATTATGTGAAACGTATATTTCAGATATAGGTGGTTTATATACAAGCAGACTAAACCGCATCATACCATAAAATAGAAGATAACAATTATGGGAGATGAAGCCGAATGTGGCTGTGAGTATAGGAGACTGTTACTGATAGATTGGGAATAACTTGAGAATGGTAAACCGTATAACAGTAACTGATAAGTGGAATGAAAGGTTATTATGAGAGGAATATAAAAATATCTGATCTAGTTACTTAATAATTATGCGATAAGTATGTATATAATAATTCCTATCAGTTCTCGTCGATTTATTCTTCGTTCGGACAAAACACGAACCTAGAACATTTCAGTCTGTTTTAACCATTACAACCACCGAGTCAAGGTTTGATGGTGTAACTCCAGCTTCAATCAATTTGTGATGTAGTTCGACCATCATCCAATAATGTCAAATGTTCTGTGGTTTCCAAATGTATCTTAACTGAGATTGTTCACGAGTTATTTTGTTGTTGATGTTAATGCCAACATCTAATAGTAATAGTCGGATGGATAACCAGACAAACTGAACAGATTTTGATTAAATAGCAAGTTTCTAATCATCTAACTAATAATGCTTCGTTGATAAGATATTTTATTTGAACTCGATTGCTTCGATGTTTTGATTTTTATGAATTAGTTTTCTATCATCAATTATGTGTACTATTTCTATTTGTATAATATTTTACAAATCAGATCCATTATGTTTGTAGTAAAGTCACTCGACTAGTTTCTCTAGAGCCATTCAAATACACTTTGTTTTAAATTCACCTTCTCTTTGAAGGTTGAGCATTTGAACTTGTAGGTGTGATTTCTATTCCTGTTTTCGGGAAATATATCTTCAAGCTAGTCACTAATGGTGTGACTATACCGTTCTTACTGGCAAAGTGACATGGGTTTTGTGAAGATATTTGATGTTGTGTTTTATTGTCGTTATATTTGAAATGATTGATTATCCCTGTAATCTTATATTATTGATGAGAAAATAAAAATGTAGAAACTTCGAATGTTGTAAGAGTATGAAAATTGGAACACTTGAATTAGTTGAGACAAAGTTAATCATGTGGGAAATGCAGAAAAACTTTTCAAAAAAATTAAAATCATTCGAAACTCATCATTGGTTAATAAATTTTCTAACGTATCGACTATTTAGTCTAATTTTGAGTTGTAATGTGGAAATTCTGTGAAATGTGGTTAATTTAGTGTTTTACAACCAGGATAAATTAGTTGATTCTATTAGATTTGGTTTATTTCAGGACTGTTCATGAAGTTGATTAGAGTGACTTATGAACGTATGAGATTAAAAACGAAAATTGAAAATTGATATTTCATTTTGGTTGAAGCAGAATGTTGTGTACGCCGCGAGACAGACTACACTGTGAAGTGGTGCATGGCGGACAGCTGACAGCTGACAGACGCATTTGAAGTGAGGATCGGACAAGACTGCCTACTCTCACGCTTTCTGTTTCTTCTGATGTTCGAGTGGATTATGTAGGCCTCAACATGTGATGAGAAGCACGGAATGAAATGGACAGCTGGAAATCAACTGGACGATTTTGACTTCGCAGATGAGCTGATCCTCCTATCTCATACACACGAATAAATTCAGGTGAAGACAAACAGTGTAGCAGTAGCCTCTGCATCAGTAGGTGTCAACATACACCTGAGAAAAAGCAAGATCGTCAAATACAACACGGGGAACACCAACCCAATCATACTTGATGGAGAAACTGTGGATGGTGTTGAATTTTTCACGTATCTGGTTAGCATGATGGATGAACGTGGAGGATGTGATGTATACGTGAATGCAAGTATTGTGAGATGAGGAGCCGCATTCCTACAATTGAAGAACATATGGAACTCGAAACAAGTATCTGCAAGTCAATATGAAAGTGAGAATCTTCAATAGGAACATCAAGACAGTTAGTTGCACTGTAGGGAGCTGAAACCTGGAGAACTACTACAACCATCATGAAGGAGGTACAAGTATTTCTAAACAAGTGTCTGTGTAAGATACTCAATGTCCGTTGACCGTATACCATGAGCAACAGCCTACTGTGAGAGTGAACAAACTGGCTTCTAGTTGAAGGGGAAATTATGGAAAAACGATGAAAGTGGGTCTGTCACACATTGAGGAAATCACCGAACTGCATCACGAAGCAAACCGGAACTTGAATCCGTGAACGGAGAGGGAAAAGAGTAAGGCTAAATAATTGGAAGCAGACATGAATGGGATGAATGTCAAGTGAAAAGAACTTAACATGGTTGCGAGTGCCTAGGACAGTGGGGTGTAGAATGCTGGTCGGCGGCCTATGCTTCATGAGAGGTAACAGGGGTAAGTGAGTTACTTCACTGAAGCACCTGGCATTATTTTTCTATGATTTTCAGTTTTTGTTTTCCAAATGACTTCAATTAGATAATCAATCACCGGATATGAGAGAGCAATAGAAAGCTACTTTGTTTAAGAATCATCTGTATTGGTCTACAACTCACATTTTCAACTCTCGTAGATGTTAGCTGTAGTAAACGGACTAACCGATGGTTGATATAAATGAAACTAATGTTCAACTTGCTAACACACCTAGAACAATTTATATTCATTTTGCATATAGCGATAAATTGTTTTCTTGTTACATTTAGAAGCGATGAGCGAAAATCCTAAATTACCAGAATTGACAACTGTTCATGGTCAAACAGTATCAAAACAAGTCGATAAAAGTTTGGCTGACCCAAGTAGATTAATTAACCCGTCATCATCATCAGTTGATCAACCTTCTTCCCTGGTACCCAGTACTATTAAATTACCCCCAGTATCTAATGATCGTACTATTTCCATACGGGAAAATCAATTAACACCAGAATCTGTCGCTGAGAAACGGATGAATACATCGGATCACAAGGTAAATTAACTCAGGTTTAATTAGGGTTTCTCAGTGTTTCCTATACTAAATTTTCGGTAGCGAATTTATTATCCAATGGAAAGTACTTTCTGAAAGCCCCCGAATGCCCTGGTACGGCCGAGAATGGGGAAAGTCCGCTCTCCCTCTCCAAATGCTCTCACATGGCCACGCGTATATAGCCTCTGCCAGGGAAGTCCTACTCACCGCCTCGTGGCAGGGGTGTTGTTTACGAAATTAAGAGGACGAAAAGCGAATTTCCGGCGCTTTATCCGGATCCCAAACCAATGGTGCACATGGGCTCCAGTACCCTGAGGGAACAAATGGCGTATGAATCAATCGTTGGTCACCGACTACCATGGGACGATGCTCCACTGCCTTGTGGATCAGACCTTCAGGTCGAAGGCTCGGGGTGTGGCTCCCCAAGAAAACCATCTGCTTCGGTTTGGGCACTCGGACAGTATCACAACCCTCACACATATCAAATGAGATTTGTTTGTTGCATATGTATTTGGTACCCCCTTGTACCAATATCTATGTGTTCAAATAAATAAATAATTTCATAATCGAATTTATACGTTTTCTATAATAAAGCCCGATCACTCAATGCGTGATCATCACCTTCATAAACGTTGAGAAAAAAATTGTGAAAGGAAGTTTACAAGTGATATGGACAGCGTAGTCAGAGACACCATATGATGTCACAAGGCCATCCTATAGGTGGAATGTAAACGTGGGCAGGCTATCGTGATTAACCGTATTACTCACTTAGTCACGGTTGCTGTGTACATGTTATTTCGGTCAGCCCGTTCACAAATAATTTACAAGTTATATATATACATTTTTTCTCTTTGGAATTTTTGTAGTCATCAATATCTCTGGGCTATCCAGAAAGTTATTGAAATGGATGTAGAATTTGCTTAGAAAACCATTTACTACCATATAAGACAGATACTTTAGAGTCATACCGATGAGTTCCTTTATCAAATGTTCTTCGACTTCAAGATATTCTTTGATCATGTAAAAAACAGTTTTGGCTTTGCAATCTCATTTTTTGTGTATTATAAATTCTCCCTTCATAATACCACTATCCCGATGATAAAAACAATAGAAAGAAGTAACTCTAGGTTATTTAACTCTCTCAAGGTCGTCTGAACACTTAAAACCTGATCGGTTGATCTGTAAATTTGAACTACTCACTAAAAGCTTTCGGAAGGTTTTATTTTATTTTATTTTTATTTTAACACATAGATATTGGTACAAGGGGGTACCAAATACATATGCAACAAACAAATCTCATTTGATATGTGTGAGGGTTGTGATACTGTCCGAGTGCCCAAACCGAAGCAGATGGTTTTCTTGGGGAGCCACACCCCGAGCCTTCGACCTGAAGGTCTGATCCACAAGGCAGTGGAGCATCGTCCCATGGTAGTCGGTGACCAACGATTGATTCATACGCCATTTGTTCCCTCAGGGTACTGGAGCCCATGTGCACCATTGGTTTGGGATCAGCTTTTCCAACTCCCCTAGGTGGACTCTCAATGTCCACCGGCCGGGCTAAAGCGCCGGAAATTCGCTTTTCGTCCTCTTAATTTCGTAAACAACACCGCCGCCACGAGGTAGTGAGTAGGATTTCCCAGGCAGAGACTATATTCGCGTGGCTATGTGAGAGCATTTGGAGAGGGAAAGCTGACTCTTCTCAATCTCGGCTGTACCAGGGCCTAATCATTTCGTTCAACTTAATTCTTATGACAAGTAAATTTTTGTACAATATTTAATTACTCATTGCTAAACATTTTCGGGAATTCATAATGAATTAGTTCAACTACAATAACACGATTCTTTCTTTTGTAGAAAAGTTAATGAGAAACCATTTTGTCTAATACTATGAAAAGATTTCATTGCCTATTTTACATAACCATATCAATACAAAGTTTTCTTTAAAAAGAAAACGTTTTTTAAGGTGTAAAGAACCTAATAGACAAACAATTTGATAATTTTTTTAAAATTTTCATTAATGATTAAATTAAAATCAACTCATTATTATCATGGAACTTTATGACAAATATTCATCTTCATTTTCAAATATACTCAAAATATTTGAGAATAAAAACAGTACTGGGTTCGTGTCCCAGAGTGGACATCAACTTGGAGATGCAAGTATATCCAGATGACGAATCCCAAATAGGACGAAACGCGCGTCCTAGATTCTACTCCTAGCTACTATCCATCTTTACTTATAAAGACATTAAGTTATGAAATTGTTTTTCAAATGAGAAACTTTGTTATGTTTCATTAAAATTACATTTTTTTAAAGTGCATTAAAAAGTTACTAATCACTTTTCTGTAATTTTATTTTTCTCTAATGAAGCAAAATCTCACAACTGATCAATCAGTAATACGCAGTGGTAGATCACAAGGAACTGATTCAACTTCGTATGTTTTTTCTACACCATGTTTAAGCGTTAATAATCCAACTTATGATGGACAGACTAGTAATAAAGCCAATAAGTTTCTCCTTGATGTTTATAATAGAAGAATTATAAATCCTTTAAGAAATAAAAAATTACTACATCCTGCTACTGCTACTACTGTATCAAGACGACGTCATCTTTCGCATAATTTAACTCCAAGTATTCCCACTATTGTAGAAGATCAAGAATTAACTAAATCTAGTGGTAATAATCAACTTCATGTTAATTTAGCTGGTCAAGATTTTAGTTCTGCCATAACTGTTGCAAATTTGGGACGGGATAAACGTCGAATATCTGTGGATCCAAATTTAATCAATTCAGGTCTTATTCATAGTTCTATTGCAAGTGTATTAACTACTTATCATCCACAAAAATTAGAATTTCGCAAAATGGATTCTAAACCTGTTCTAGTTGCACTACCTCATGAATCTATCACTATTGAAGATTATTCAAGACCTCTTTATCGAAGTGATATATTTTTCGGGTAATCAACCTAGTAGTTTATAAATATTATTTAAATGTTATTTTGTAAAAATGTATTATTTGATGTAAACAAGATTTTTTTTTTATAATATCCTATTATTAGTTCATTAAGATAGATAACATCATTTTGGTTTGAAAGGGCCACATAAGAATATGTCTTATATTATTTAGTCTCAGTTTTAAAAAAAGTCGTCAGGAGTACTAGTAAAACTACATTGAGTTCATTCATTTTTAACTTGTCATATATCAATAATGTTTTATTAGGTTGTTTATTACCAGAATTTCGTTGTGTAAGTACTTCAGTTTTGTCTGGAGCAAGAATGGTGACTATAGTTCAGTTTCTATTAAGTGTGGTCGATAAACAAACTTGCCAATCACATTACGAATCATTTACCACCTTGACTTGATCTGAATTTGGTCTGATTTTATTCTTTGTTTGTTTACCAACCAAAAACTTGTATATTTTTTTATAAACCGGACTAATCTTCATTGATTTGTTTATGTCATATTTTTGTGGCATATTTTTCGCCCCCTTTCTCCATTTAGTCGATCGTATTGATTTCTGTCTTTGGCACTAATCGTATTTGTTCATTTTAGAATCATTGAGTTTTAAAAGCCAAATGACTGACTTATTTTCAACTTCAGACATAGTAAAACACTATGATCGATAGCTTAGGAACTTGTTTGAAAAATTCATCTGCAGATAATTAATTCCTCCAGTTTCATTTGCTCTCTATCTTCTAATTAACCTTCAATTGTATTCCTTTGTTTTTTTGTCTATCGTATTTTTGATATTTGGATTTCTGTTGGGTCCAATACTAGTTTCCTTATTCATTGTGCTCAACTTGCATTAATAAGCATTCATACCACTTAGATTCTGTATTAATTATGACTAGCTGACTGAGTTTGAGGATAATTTTTACTACGAATTATCATCGAACTGAGAGCTAAAAAATCAAAAAACTATGAAACAGTTACTTGTTTTGTCTTAATTTAGAACTTCGTCAGTGTTGATATTAGTTTCTAATGATAAGTAAGAACTACTTTCGAAATGAATGTATTGTAATCTCTACCAAACAATCAATTTATTTAACGAGAAACTTATTTTTGTGTGTTTGGATAATCAGCAAAAAATAGCGTTCATCTGTGTCTCAACCTGTTCGGTCAGTCAATCAGTCAGCTACAACATAGGACCAGGCACATATATGCATCGGTCCAGGTTACCATACCGCATTAGCACAGCAAGATGAACACCGGATTCATAGGAGTGGTTATGTCAAAGGTGGTAATATATAGGAGAAAGATTGCATATAGAGATATAGTACAAGAAGAAAAAATTTGTTTGTAGAAAGAAAGATATGAAGTGATTTTATTCTCTTAGTTTAAAGGAAGACAAAGAGTGTATACACCTACGCCATTGTGATCGATTCTGAGTCATGTCACCAAGAGTCTCCAACCATTGGTTACGAAAGTCACGCGGACCCCAACCAAGTAGTCTGCATCTACCAACATGGCTCAGACTAGAAGTTAGTGACTTCAAGCACTGATGCCACGTTTTGGTTTGGCAGCCCTTAACTTTCTTCCAACCATCCCCAACACCGGTTAGTATTGCACGTCGTGGTAATCGGTGTTCACGCATAGGTTACACGTGGCCCGACCATCTCGGTCGATGAAGATTTACGACCTCACCAACTGATTTACCATCATTCCCTAATACCCCGCGTCGAACCTCACTATTACTTACCCGGTGATCCCAGCAGACGCCAGCAATATTTCTAAGGCATCTGTGGTCAAATACTAGTAGCTTACGGGTGTCTTCTACTCTTAATTGCCATGTTTCGCTGCCGTAAATTAAAACAGAACGAACTGCCACGCATTTTACTCGTCCTTTTATTGATAGACGGATATCTCGCCTTCGCCATAGGTGAGACAAGTTGGCAAAAGCCAAACGAGCTTTTCGAATCCGTTCTGAGATTTCGTCAGATACCAACTCATTAGGGCTGATCAGACTTCCAAGATAAGTGAAGTTGTCAACGCGTTCGACTACTTCACTGCCTATCCTTAGTTCAGGTGTTGACGCAGACCAGTCCTGAAGCAACAACTTGCACTTAGAGGGCGAGAAGCGCATTCCAAACATTCTGGGATTGTTGCTCAGTGCTACCAGAAGACTCTGCATTTTGTCAGCGTCTTCACCAAACAGGACTATGTCATCTGCGTATTCTAAGTTCATAAGTGGACCTCCTGGATGGAGATCAATACCCGAGAATTCAGTAGACGATAATGGTATTTCCATCAGTGGGTCTATGATGAAGTTAAACAAAAGTGGAGAAAGTGGACAGCGTTGACGGACACCACTTGAGGTTGCAAAATTAGATGACAGTTCGCCATAAGCTCTTACTCGACTGGTAGTGTTAGAGTAGATAGCCTTCACAAGGTTTATGTACTTCTGAGGTACGCCTTTCAATGACAGACACTGTCACAGAGTCTCGCGGCCTACCGAGTTAAATGCTGCTTTTAAGTCAAGAAAGACCATCATTGTCGGACGCCGATAATTATGCCTGTGTTCTAGAACCTGACGAATGGTGAATATGTGTGGGGTGCAGCCACGTCCAGGTCTGAAGCCAGCTTGGTTCTCTCGTGTTTGCAGTTCACGAGTCTTAGTTAAGCGTCCGATAATTATCGAGGCTAGTATTTTAGATACTATATTAGTTAAACTAATCCCTCTATGGTTGTCACAGGATGATTTTGACCCTTTCTTATATATTGGGACGATAAGTGATTGTGACCAGTTAGATGGGATTACGTCTAACTCCCAGATCTTAGCTAAAATATTAGTCAACCTAATCGCTAAAATTGGACCACCAACTTAAAGACTTCTGGAGCCAATCTGTTACTTCTTATTCATCGATCAGTCAAATAAATTTATTCTTATTCATAAGAGTTTGTGTTTTCCATTTGTTTATATTCATTATTGGGTGTGGTCAGTTTCTATCAGCATATAGGACTCGTTAACTGGATCCTTTATTTGTTTTGTACCCCTGCATCTCAATGTTGATGTTTACACTGAAGCTCAGTAGCTTAGTAGATGATAACACATGTTGACGTTCGAATCATTAGGTACTGGGTTAAAGTTTTGTGAACATCAACACTGGGATGCAGGCATATCTAGATAACTAACCCTATAATAGGATGAAACACATTTTTTAAATTATTTTGCTATCCAATATCAAATATGCATAACTAAGTAGATTCCACATGCAATCTAGGTCATCATGAAGACTAAACATCTCTATGGTGAAGGAAAACACAGAAATTTAACATAAATTAAACTAGAAATTAGTTATTTGTGTAGATTCCAACTCAACCAATCATAATAACTTCGGCCTTTTATTAATGAATGTCATATTGTAGAGAATAAGAACACAAGTGGGGACAATCAAACATATTTAACACGAAATTACAGAAGTTGTTAATAAAATCTAACTATCATATAGTAAATGTTTAATTTGCAAAATGTCCATCACTTGTCTTCAAATGACTCAGACTTCATTGTTTTTGCATTTTCATACAAATTACATTCTGTTTCGATTCTTTACTGTTCGATCCTCTTGTCTCTGTGCTACCAGACATTCTGTTCTTGACTAACGTCATATACTACTTATGTCGATATAGATAGCACACACCACAATATAACCCTTTTTTTTATAATAAAAAAAAACTGAAAAACTAAAGCAGAAATATCATCAATATTTCACTACACATTCTATTCTCAATTGTATTATCTATATGACCTTGAGATGGAATGTAAAATTATTCCTTTGAATGAAGTGATATTTGAAACTCATTAACTAATTAGAGAGAGAGAAAAAAAGAAACAACCTTTAAAACAAATGGAACTGATAATTTTTTTTTTTGAAAAAAATAAATCATAATGCAAGTGAACTCGAAATAAGAATTTGGATAAGAAGAATGATTTATTATGTAGTGACCTTGACATCAATCTTTTTAAAACTGACATAAGATTATAATGTATATATTTAACAAAGAAAAATATGAGAAATAAATTTTAACGATTATTCTTTGGTAAACAGTTTCGCCTTAACTAGTTTATTGATTTATTAAAGTAATTTAAACAATAACGTTTAGAAGTAAAGATGGATAGTGGCTAGCATATTGAAATCTAGGACATGCGTTCCGTTCTATTTGAGACTGGTCAGCTGGATGTACCTGTATCTCAGAGTTGATGTTCACTCTAAGACTCGAATCCAATATCGTTCTCTTCAAACGCCATTGCGTTATCCACTTAGCCTACTGAGTTCTGATAGCTACCTCCTTGTGCAATGGGGTGAAATTATATTCACTTGGTGTTGTTTACTTGAATCTTCTTAAATAATGACAACACCAGGTGAAAATAACGTTTAGAATTTAATTAAATTATTAATAGAGACTATGTAAGAAGTGGTTTTGCGCATATTGTAGTAATTTAAATGGTTGAGATCATGAGTCAGTTGAAGCTAGACCACCATGGAAAGAAAACCTGGAAGCACTGGACGGCCGTTTTATCCTATTGTGGGACTCCTCAGCAATGCGCATCAACGATCCCGCCTTGCGAGATTCGAACCCAGAACCCATCGGCCTCGCACGCGAATGCTTAACCACTAGATCACTGAGCCGGCATCCAACGATGTTAATGTCTAAGTTAAACCAATCCACGATATTGCGCGACCATCCACTATTGTCTTCAGTGAGTAACGGTCTCACAACAGACACGGTTGAACTCCGCTGGTCACGGCTTCTCACTAGAACTCTAGGAAATCTATCTTGAAGCCAGTCATTAGTGAGTATATGTTGATTAGTATCAGAAGGGGTTTTCCGTGGTGGTCTAGCTTCAATTGACTCATGATCTCAATTATTGAAAACAGAGATCATGTTGGTTAAAGGTTGACCGGAACTAGGATACGGGACACATCTATGAAGTTGACTGCTTTTAATTGAAATATATGATAAGGTGTAGACTATATGTCTAGTATTCTTCAGATGTTACCAATCAATGATTGGATAGAACCAATCGAATAGAGAATTATCTATCATAATGACTATTTAACTTTTTTATTCTTTTAAATCGTCAATATTAGTCCTTATTTGCTTTCTATTACACAACATATGTCCTAAATAGATGCTTTACCATCTTTTTTATTTTCTACTACTTTTCCTTTCTTACTTCTGCTTCAGATTTCGTCAAGTTTAACTAGTTCATTTTGTTTGACTAGATATCATTATTGTTATCTTTGTTTACCTATTGTGGATTTCTTGTTAAAACTAAGTTGAATACATGATAGATATTAGAGGAAAGAAATATGGTGAAACATGGTTCAGTGGTGTTCAATACGACTGTCCTCTTTCTGCATTTTTTATTTAATTTTATCACTTATATGCTTTCAGAAAAAAGCACTTTCATTTTACGTTTTAGGAATTTGACTCCTTGCTAGAAGATTCACTTGTCAATTTAAAGTATAAAGGTGACGTAGTTTTGTCTGACATGTGCAAAGTCTCCTAAACCTTTTGAATAATAATCCAATAATTTTAGGATGCGTTTTTATCCTTCTGCCCCCTTAATATGAAATGTTGCTTCAGGGATTAGTTTGAGTCAATCCCTAGTTTGAACATAAGTAGTGAGTCTAGTAATCGATCTCTTTAATTAGCTGGGAAGTTTCTACTGCACAACAATTTGCTCGGCTTTGCTCTTAAGGTGTGAAATATGGCTTACTAATGTTTAAGCTCATGTTAAATGGTAAGTTGATTAGTGAGACGATAAACAGTCTTTGACTGAGATGGTTAGAACTTGTGTTGCACATATGCCATGCCATCACTTATTCTGTTGAGCAACGCTGACTGATTTACGAGCAAGTAATTAAATATTTAGTGGTGTTCAGATCAAGATGTAGTATAAATTCACTAATTTATTGACTACTGTTTTGATCCGCATTGTTATGTCTAGAGTTCCTCGTTGAAGCCCACACAATAGTGGTCATCCACGGTTGGAGGCGTATGGTGATGTCCCGAAAAGTAGTACTATTCATTTTTTTTATCTCCTAAGTATTTAGTTAATTGGCATTCCTAACTTTTAATTCGTCTCATTTCCTCCTGTTCGACCGCGTTATCTAATCCTTTAACATTATTATTGCAATTAAATCCTCTCCATCGCTTATCACGTTGTTAGCTATGAAAATCTGGATTGATATGCACTCTTAGCAATTTTTAATTTGAGTCTAAATGACTAATGCCCTTACCTTATAGAATAACAATGTCACAATCCAAAATGGTAATAAAGTGGAAAACCAAACGACTGACTACTTAGGAATAAAGTGAATTTGTGCATTCTATACTTGATCCCCGACATATATATAGAGCTGGTTTTTTCAGGTGTTTTCTTCAAAATTTTCGCTGTTCACATTAACTACTTATAAGTACTAAAAGTATTGACTGAAAACTTTAAGATTTTGATAATTGACTGAATTTCATGCCACTTTGAGAATAGGACGAACTTTCTGTTTTCTTCCTTTTCTTCTTTTGTGAATTTGATGCCAACTAAAATGTTTTTAATCATTTCATCAGTATTCTAGAGTTTTTTCCTTCCCAGTATAAGATATATATCATCTACAAAATGTATCCAAGTTTGGTTTCATTATTAGTAGATCTGTACCCTCGAGTTTTTGAGTCACAGGTTCCGCGATCAGTCCTAACGTGGAGGGTCCCAGTGAAGTTTCTTTGATATTTCTACAAATATGATTGTTTTCATAAGATGTAGTCGAGTCCTTGATTGAACCTAAACTCTCAGATAGAGGTATATCCAGCTGATTGGTTCTAAATAGGACCCCACTGCTAGCCACCATCGAAATCTGTCTAAAATGCTTCAGACCTAGTGACAATATCGAGGCAATCCACAAAGAATTCAGATGTGAAAGAAGAAACTAGTTAATTGCCATCGTAAACATCAATGGAAAGAGTCAAATGACCAGTACAAATGAATTAAAAATTCATCTTTAGGAAATCCACTATTATTCATTGGTATTAGGTTATAATTCTACATTTGAATCTAAAAATTGTTGAGAAGAGTGATAGTCGGCTGATTAAAGCGTTCAGTTGTCAACTATTGGGTCAGAAGTTTATATATATATATATAGTTTGGTTTATGGAGGAAGGTAGTTCCATTATTTCTCGCGCAACAAAAGTATCGGTCATAGTTAACCATACTAACTTGTACTTAGTGATAAATATGGATCAAAATTGTTCTTAATTGTATTTCTTTTCAGTAACTGTAAGCAAAAGAATATATATTTATGTGTCTATCAGATATTTATCAGTGGCGAGACACAATAGCCTTTAGAGGTATAAACTGATGTGAATTCTATGGAATTACTCAAAATTTGTGAGATAAACGTTATTGATACATTTTATTTCAACCAAATATGACAAGTTGAATCGAAACTAGGTTTCAGGTTGTTTATAATCCATCTTTTCATCATCCATCTATTGTTCAGGCAAAAAATGACTTGAAATAATGCGCATAATCTACTCAGTGGATGAAATGCTCCCGCTGTTATGTTATTTAGTTTAATTTATGGACGAATCAATCAGATTTAAGATAATGAGACTTCAACTTTGATGCCAAATCCGTTTATCCATACGGCTTAGTGACATTTCAGCATTGTAGCTGATATCAGATCGTGATGAAAACCATAACTCCAATCTTTAGCCCTGACTTCTAACTATAAATCTTAATCCTTATTCCTCACACTAACTTATAGCCTCATTTTGATCCTTACGGTCACTTTAATATCACACATAGGTCGTCCATAAATTACATTCTCACTTTTCCCCTCAAAACTTGTATAATGACTTTGAATATTGGTAATATCTGAATAGTAAAATTCATTCTTCTAGCTGTTTACATCTTGTTAGAATACTTGTAGTAAGCAGATGCTCTCTGTTAATTAGAATACTTTTCATATAACTTTGTAGCTGGTCAAAAATACTGAAAACAGTTTCATTATTATATCTTTTGCCCACACACAAATTTTGTGATTTTTGTGGTGCGTATGAAATATTAACAGGACTACATAACGTAAAACAATAAATTGTGAATGAAAAAAAGTTATACTAATCTAAATATTAAGTGACAGAATGGTGAAGATTCGAAGATTCTGACAGAATGCAGCATATTTGCTTAATTAGCATGGAGTTTATCAAAAAGTATATATATGGATGCTTGTTTACAACAACAGTGTATCTACTGTGTATCAATTTTATTTCAACATCTGTAATATCGAATATCATCATGAACACTAGATTTATAATAAATGAGAGTAACTACTCTATTTCTAAGGTTCGTTTTATGCGAAAAAATTTTTTCCGTTGTTCGCTTCTCTGTTATGTCGTGCTATTTCATTTTTTCTGAATGAGTTTTCGATAGTGAAAAAGGGACATTTCAGTCTATTGAATCGATTTATTGTTAAAATAGTCTAGCTAGTTTTTTAATCAGTCCAACTTCAAAGTTTACTTTTAATGTCATTTCATCGATCCCCTAAATGATAACTTCTTGTCTGAATATTTGGGTGGTTGACAAAAGTGAGTTAAATTTTAAGCAATTTTTCTTCACAATTAACATCAGCTGAGAAAATAGGTAAATAAAATTAGTATACCGTTGAATGGCTATTTGATGTAAGTTGGAAATGTACGCCGCACTTTTCCGACTTGATATTCTAGAACCCTCATCCCTGTCTGATAATGTCATCGAATGATTTGAAGATCCTATGTTCAATCCCTACTTGAGTCGTGAATTTTCATCGATGAGGGTTTCCATACTGAAATGAAACAGCTGTACAGTGCTTCTTGTCTCTCAATGGCTATCTAAATTAAGTCATTCCGCGATACAGAACTACGAAATTCAGCGATCTCCACAATCCCCTCTACTAGAATGTTAATTAAAATAGCTTACTGAACAAAATCTGAAAGATCCTATTGTTTTGATTGTGTCACTGTCTATCTTTTTCCTTAAAATATAAAAAAAACATATATGTATGCATACGTTCGTTCTCCAATGGCTTACTGGAAATCATTTGTCACTTATCAACTTCTTTTTCTGTTTATTTCAGAGGTAATCCAATGCCACAAATACCAAAGGAATATTATTCAACAATTACTAAAATGAAATCAACTGGAGATGTAGATAGAAAAATGCAAAACAAATTAAATGATATATATCGTATGACTAATTCATGTTTAACAGTTCCATTAAATGATACTATCGATCATAGTCATGTTGATGGTTCTTATGGTACACTTAGTGATGGTGATGAACATGAGTCAGGATTTTGTAAGTCACAATCTAATTGGATAGAATCAATGATTGTCTCATTAACTAGTATACCATTACCAAATGATGACAATAAAGGTCTTCTATTACCATCAGCTAAACAGAGTTTAAATGAAAAACTACATAAGAGTTTTCCTGATTATGATAGTAGAATTCATGATGAAACCGGTGGTAGTGGTGGTGGTGGTAATATTCGTCATGGAGCCTATGCTGATGATGTTGATCATGGTGAAGATGATAATGCTGATCATGTTAGTGTGATGGATGATATTTGTTTATGTGGTTTTTGTCTAACTGGTATTCGACGCCTCCGTGATTGTCGTTTATGCTCTTCATTATTTTATTCACAAAAATTACCGGATTGTTGCCCGTGTTTTTTTGTTAAACAAAAACAAATCTATAAACGTGTAAATAAAGAATTTCCTAATCAACATGAAGCTGATATTATGGATGAGTTAAACATAAATGATTTTAATGATTTAACCGAAGTTACAAGATACACTCGTTTTATTCAATGCTGTAAATGTGTTTCTTTAAAACCTATACTGGATGTATTAGGTACTATGTTAGACTTATCATTATTATTCAAACCAAAATATTTAATATTGTGGATTTCTAATTTAATTGGTTTATTGGGTAAGTTACATACTTTGTATTTTGTGTACACCTCTTTGTGAACTGAATAATTTCTAAGAAATAGATTCGTAGGTGATACTATTAGTTTAAACTGATATCAAATCAACAATGTTTCAAACTATCATGGAATAATTATTTAATACTCCGTTATGTTCAATAGTTTTAAAGTTAATTCCTTTCACAAGTGAAATTTATCTTTATTATATATCTACATGTAAAAATTCAACAAGGTTGAAATGTAAATTTCTTCCATTTGATAACGATAAAAGCATCCATGTCTTCAATCATTTATCATATAAAAACCTAAGACCTCGAAAATATATCGTCACACTCCATATCACAATGAGCGGGAATCAATGCATTGAAAAAAACAATGGTATTAACGGGAATCTGAACATACAGAATGTAGTTCAAAAAAGGCAACTAAAACTGAAGAATGAAATCTATAAATTAATATTAAGACACAAGATTTATGGAAGTAAATGAATTGGGATGTGACTGTGCTACTGCAATCTATTTCTGGTCATGACACCCGAATTGTCCAACTTCGTGTTATAACTGTAGGTTGTAGGCTACAGTTGTCTTATGAAGTCAAATCTAGAAGTCTGCACCTGTGTGTGTGTGTGGGGGGGTCGAATAGTAACTTCATGAATTGGTTGTATGTCTTGATTTTGCTACCCTCAGCCTTTTTTTCTCAAATTAACTTTATGCCAACTACCATGGTATATCAACCTTCTTTTAAGTTATTTTTTAAAATCCAATAGGTTGTAGGCTCTGTCTTCGAAATGCTATTATCATTATAACCATTAGTAGCCCGTGATCCGACTCCAATTGGATTGTATGTTGATCGCTATTGAAATATACATGTCATCAATCCTCATATATACTTATTGATCTAATCGCGTTAGTGAATAATGGAATTAAATGAGTCAAATACGAGAATGGATGTTTGAATACGTATATTTAGTACACCCGTTGGTCGGAACAGACAATCAGAGAATCGCAGCGAATGAAGCGAAACGAAAGAACGCTCATTGGAGAAGGCATATAAGCTAACTTCATTTGATCAAGCGGTAATCAATATTTATAGCCAGATAAAATTAAGTTACAGACATGTGATGGATAGGATAAGGAGTGTACACACACATGCGCTCACATAAAAACATTCAGGGTTGATAAGTGAATAACTAACAAGGTTAAAACGTGACGCAAGAAGAATGGATAAATTGACCTGTCCAGAAGCTAGAATAAGGTAGGTATATTGGTTTGACATAGTAACCGACACTGCAAACCATGTAACAGATTTTTGAAATTCTATCTTTTATTCTTTTAAGACAGACACATTTAATACTACATCAATGTATCGTATTGACAACCAAGCTAATCATGCACTAGCTAAGATACATTTGTCATTAATAGAGATTTACTATTTGTCTTATATCATTCATCAGTGATCAGTCAGTTCATTGAAAATCAATGATTACTTAAGTGACTTTCTTAATGTAATTATTATCACTTTCAATGGTTGAGATCATGTGTCAATTGAAGCTAGACCACCATGGAAAGAAAACCTGGAAGCACTGGACGGCCGTTTTGTCCTATTGTGGGACTCCTTAGCAGTACGCATCCACGACCCTGCCTTGTGGGATTGGAACCCAGGTCCTATCAATCTCGTCTAGTGCTTCCAGTTTTTCCATGGTGGTCTGGCTTCAATTGACTCATGATTTCAACTATTGAAATTACTACAATTTCCACAAAACCCCTTCTGATACTTATCACTTTCTACTTACTTATTTATCTAACATTTCAATACCATTATTTTATACTATGACCTGCTAATCAAATCGATATTATTTTTTATTGTTTTTTTTATATTTTCATTACTTTCAAATGTACGACCTATTATTGATTGGTTTGTACAAAATAATCAATCAAGGTATGTATGTTCCATTGATTTATGTTAGTGATTTTGCTTCAGTTTATGGCATATCTACTAAACTGTCATCTTATTTTTTATCAATTATGGGTGAGTACTTTTTTTAAAATGTTTTATCTGTTAACTACACTAGAATTTACATTTTTCTCTCATAATACCTTTATATATTATTACATAATGAATTACTGACTACTGTCTAATACTGGTCAAAATATTAGATTGCAGAAAATCCGACGAAACTGTAAAACTAATTATACAGAAAACCTCAGAAATCAATAAAAAAGAATTTAATAATAAAACAATAAATTTAAAATATCATGAAAAATGACAGTAATCAATAATAGCTGTTGTATTATTAGCCTATACATTTATTTACGAGGTCGTAAGGAGATGTTATATGTTTTAGACATGGTTCTCATCACTAATTAATATTAATTTGGAGAACTAACCCGTTACGATGACATTTGAAATTTTTGTATAGTGAACACTCACCATACTTCACACAAGATCATGTTGTCTGAGACTTAAAGGTTTTAAATAAATAATATATTTATAACAATCTAACCAATGCTCAACTTATTCGAAATTATCAAATCAAACCTTGGTTAAAGGTTTTAAGATTGTGGGCTTCCACTGTTCAGTAAATGCAAACTATGATACAAGAGGTATCAAATCCTCTCTGACTTGACATAATCTACCAACTAATATAAGTTAATCATGAAAGTCACCTTTAAAATCAAGCATAGTCATTAATCTGTTAAACATCATACAAGTTATGTATTTCATGTCCATTTCATCACATCTCTGACCTGTGATGATTGTATAGAGTTATCACCACCGAATGAAAAAAAACTTAACTAAAGATGTCTTTATGTAAATAAACTATAATAATAATAATAATAATAATAATAATAATAATAATAATAATAATAATAATAATAATAATAATAATAATTCATTTCACAAATTATTGTTCGTCTTAGGTTATTTGTTTTCGTTTGCCATCATTTCCTGTTAATTAAGAAAAAACTTTTTTTTGCCAACATATGTACAAAATAATTTGATTTCTCTTGTTTCCCTAACCGTGCATACATATATATTCCTAAGGATGGATGGATAGTTTCTGGATGCTGAATCGTAGTAAATTTCTATTAATCACTGAGTTACTTAGTATATTTTGAATGTACTGTAAATTTATTACAAGCAACACTTCTTTTCTCTACAGTTAATGGATATAGATCTCTTATCATGAGTAAAAAAGAGTTGCAATTCATAAACGATTTACACCACTGACTAATATCAACTAGAGTAACATTGTAAAATCAAACTTGGTTTGTGACTTCTCGTAAGTACTCATCGAAACATGATGATCACGAGACTGTATCTCGTTTGAGATTACTGATACACCTTGGAACTATCTATCTAATTAAATTTTAGTTTGAAATAGCTTCATTTTGAGTATTCGATATTGCATGGAAACAACTATAAGGATTTTCAAAAAAAAGTTCTGTTTATTTCTAATATATGAAATTATATTGCACTGTGAAAATTTAATATTCAGTATGTTAAATATTCCATATATGTATATAAAAATTCGTTTACTTATTATGTAATAGGTGTTTCAAGTATTATTGGACGATTACTTGTTGCGTGGTTAAGCAGTTTATCATTTGTTTCTCCATTAATTATGCAATCTATTACACAATTTTTACTTGGACTACTTGTATGTTTAATGCCTGTTTTTACAACGTTTATCAGCATGGCTACTTCATTTGGATTCTACGGTTTTTTGACTGGTACGTTATAAAATTATTCCTATCTTCTAAAGAAGAAAAAAAGACGTTTCTTTATTTTGTTGTGTGTATTACTGTATTCTTGTTAATTTTATTGTTGTAATACAAGATTAGTTTTTCAGTATAAAATGCTATGAAATATTAATTAATTGAACATTGATCATTCTTGCTTATACTTCAAATAATCTATTTCAATTTAGTTGACTAGATTTATTTCTCGATGATGAACGTTTGCCAAGAATCTCATTATGTCAGTCAGTCAGTTACAACGTAGGGCCAGGCACATACATGCATCGGTCCAAGTCGCCACACCTCATTAGCACAGCAAGACGAACATCGGATTCATAGAAACAGTTACCTCAATGGTGTAATATATAAATGAAAGATTTTTTGTAAGGATATAGTACAGAAAGAAAGAATTAGTTCGTAGAAAGAAAGATATGAAGCGATTTTAATCCCATAGTTTAAGGGAAGAAAAAGTGTATACACCTACGCCATTGTGATCGATTCTGAGCCATGTCACCAAGAGTCTCCAGCCATTGGTCACGCGGACCCCAACCAAGTAGTCTGCATCTACCAACATGGCTCAGATTAGAAGTTAGTGACTTCAAGCACTGATGCCACGTTTTGGTTTAGCCGCCCCTAACTTTCTTCCAACCATTTCCAACACTAGTCAACATTGTGCGTCGTGGTGGCCGGTGTTCAGGCATGCGTAACACGTGACCCAACCATCTCAGTCTATGAAGATTTACAACCATCATTTCCCTAATACCTTGTGTCTAACCTCACTATTACTTATTATTAAGTAAATTTGAGCTCTTCAATATATGAAACAAGGTATCTAATAAACATATACAGGTTGTTGTAGACTATTCCTTATTTCATTTAATACTATAATAAGTAATATTTCTCTAAAAAAGAAAAATCATTTTCTTCAAATTAAAACATTTTATAAATTCAACATATAACATCTAAAAATAGATCTTTATAAGAGAAATAATAGGACTTGAATTTTATTGAAGAGAGAGAGTTAGTTTCTTTAAGACTTTTTGTTGATTGCTTTTAAACGCTTTGTTATGTTATTTTCTTCTTTTTTGTCAAGGTGTTTTTTCCACTCTTAGTACAATTATATTATATGATTTAGTTGGAATGGATGAACTTACTACAGCTGTTGGTTTAATAACATTAAGTCGTGGTATATCCTGTGCGTTGGGTGCTCCATTAGCTGGTACGTTAATTTCATCTTTGAATTGTAAAATATTCTCAGAAAGTTTAAAATATATATGATTGAAAAATACTTTCTATTCATTTGTCATTGAAGTGTCCTTTAATCTCAAGTCGACTACTTTAATAACGCTAGAGTGGACTTCAGCAATAAAATTTTATCAATTTTGATTAGGCTACATAGTACTACTTATTTACTTACTTGCGCCTGGAGCATAGGCCGCCAACCAGCATTCTCCGTCCTAAACAGTTCTGGGCCTTCTTTTCTAGTTCTATCCAATTTTTGTTCATTCCTCTCATGTCTGTCTCTGTTTCTCGGAGTAATGTGTTCTTTGGTCTTCCTCTTCTCCTTTTGCCTTGAGGATTTCAAGTGAAGGCTTGCCTTGTAACGCAGTTGGGTGCGTTCCTCAATGTGTGTTCTATCCACTTCCAGCGCTTCTTCCTGATTTCTCCCTCCGCTGAAATCTGGTTTGTTCTCCCCCACAGTAGGTTGTTACTGATAGTGTCTGGCAAACGTATCCGAAGTAATTTGCGTAGGCGACTGTTAATAAACACTTGTATCTTCTAGATGATGGCTTTCGTAGTTCTCCAAGTTTCCGTCCCATACTATGCATCCTGGTTAAACACGCTAAGCAGACTACATAGTACTACCCAGTAATTGATAAATATGAACACATTGAAATGTGTGGTTATAATTAATGGTTTTCAGTCAATGAAGTTTATTCTGAGAAAAATTTTCAGTTGCTTACTGCCTTGAGAGTTGATGACAATATCCTCCGAAACTGAGGTATGCAGACCTGGGTTAAAACCTGTGTTACAGTATTTTTAATATTATTACTCGTATATGGCTAATGGCGAAATATTCTTAAGTCAATCTCCATTAAAGATTATTAAATCTACAATCATATGTGACACGAATGTATTATCATGAATATTTTTACCTTGGATGACTACGTGTACAACTTGATAACTATCCGTGTACTCGGCTTTAAGATCATTTTCTATATACAACGGCTAGAGGTATTATTTCAGTTTGAGAAACCAAGTAGCATTATCATCCCTTACAATATAATTAGTTTATATTTTTTTTATATTTCGTGAAATAATTGTACAATTTTACACAGAAATATAAACAGATACAATATGAAATAGACTGTAACATAATCATAGGAGCCATTTGTGTTTCAAAATAGCACTCATCAAATGTGCATTCATATTCAATTTCAACATTATTTCACACATTATGCAATGTATCTAGTCTTTTAATAATCATATATTATTATTTTTCTTAAATTCTATTCTGTATTTCTAGATCATTAAACAAACACTTGATTTCATTTATTGTGTATTTAACAATAAAACAAAGACACAATTTAATTGTTTTTAAAATAATACATCTTATTCTATTGAAATAACTCTAAATAAATACTTAATTAAATTCAATAGTTTATACCTTTAATTTTAAATAGAAACAAGGCTTATCTTAACACGATATAGTTGCTAAGATATTTTAAAACTATTCCAATTGAGAAATGTGTTCAAATCCTAGTTTCAGGAAATTCTATTGTTTTTTTATTACTAACAAATATATCGGGTAATGGAA